TCTCTCTCTCTCTGTTTCTCTCTCTCTCTCTGTCTCTCTCTCTCTCTGTTTCTCTCTCTCTCTCTGTCTCTCTCTCTCTCTCTGTCTCTCTCTCTCTCTCTGTTTCTCTCTCTCTCTCTCTCTGTTTCTCTCTCTCTCTCTCTGTCTCTCTCTCTCTCTCTCTCTGTGTGTCTCTCTCTCTATGTGTCTCTCTTCCTTTCTGCTCCCACAGCACTTGTGTTTTCTCCCTTGCTTGTTCCTAGCTTGGTCTATAGCTCTCTCTTTGCTTTCACACATTGATACAAACTTTGGGTTCAAACATGCACTTTGTGTGACAATCTGAGTAAGAAATTTGAAAAAGGACATGTATTTTTAATTTACACAGTAATCATTAATCAATCAGTTCTGTTGTTTTTATTCATTTTGTTTTGAAAATAAAAACTGTAGAAAAGTGATAATACTCAACAGGTTAAGGACATTTTCATTAGGACTCATCTTAATAAAGCATTTGATGATGGTTTGAATAATTATGAGAGGAAAACAGCAAAGCTTCTGAATATTAAGTTTTTGTAAATATCTGGGTACTCCACCCTGCAGCTACACCAGCTGAGCTCCGCCCTGATAAAGATTAGCACCACTAAAGCTGCAGGACCAGACAAGGCGTTAGGCCTGACTCTAGGTATGCGCTGACCAGCTGGCAGGTGTGTTCCTGGACATTTTCAACCTGTCCCTGCAGCTCACTTCAGTTCCTGTGTGCCTCAAATCCTCCATCATTGTGCCAGTGCCAAAGAAATCAGCTGTCACCTGCCTCAACGATTATCTCCCCATTGTTCTAACTCCAACCAGCATGAAGTGCTTTGAGAGGATTGTCCTAAAGCACATAAAGGACACCATCCCTGCTGGTCTGGACAGTCATAAGTTTACAGTGAGCACTAATAAACTGAAGATGCAGTCTCAATTGCCCTTCATGCAGCATTGTTCCACCTGGAGCATCCTGACAGTTATGCCAGAGAGATATCTGTGGACATTAGCTCAGCTTTTAATACAGTTGTTCCAGAGAAGTTGGCACTGAACCTTCACGACCTGGGGCTGCCTGCATCACTGTGTGTCTGGATCAGGAACTTTCTCATCAACAGGCCTCAAGTTGTGAGAAATGGAGGCCAATATCATCATCACTGGCCCTTAACACAGGCACACTGCAGGGCTGTGTGCTTAGCACAGTTCTCTTTACTCTGTTCATACATAAAAGCAGCGCCATCCACCCCATAAACACAGTTGTGAAGTTTGCAGATGACACCACCATTAGTGGGTCTCATGTCAAACAATGAGATTCACTACAGAGAGGAGATCCAACTGTTGTGATCTAACTGTTGTTTTTTATTTATTGATTGATTTTTTTTGCTGCTATTCCTCTTGATTGTCCTTGTGGTTGATATTTTGTTTCGATTTGTTAAAAAAAGAAGAAGAAAAACTTAAATTAGTACGCCTGTTTTATGACTGTCTATTGTTATTGTTGTTATCCATTGCTGTCATCATTCTTTGTTAAGAAATCAGGTCTCTCTTGTAAATGAGTCCTCGAGGCTCAATGGGATTAACCTGAATAAATAAAGGTTTAATGAATAAATGATCCAGCACCTGACAAGATGGTTATCTGAAAACAACCTTACCCTCAATATCAGCAAAACCAAGGAGATCATTATAAACTGTGTGGTGTTCCAGACACAGAAATGAATGAACATGTACTTTAAAGGGTTTTGAGACTATCTTATGATTTGTTCTCCTGTGTGGTGATTTTTTGTACCTAAATTAAAGAATAATAACAAATAGCCACAAGAGGGCGTTCTTGCTCTGTACAAGAGATGGCGACCGGATCTACATATTTGGAACCACCAGGTTCTGCAACAGCTTCATCCCTCGAGCTATCAGACTGCTGAACTCAGGTCACTGATGAAGAGACACACACATCCACAGCCATTCCTAAACACCAAAGTCTATAAAATTCATGTAAATGATTTACTCCTACACTGCTGTGGACAAATTAAATTTCATTCAGTTTTGCATGGTGCACTGTACAATTTTGAATGACAATAAATATTATTATTAAACAAGGAGCGGTGGTGGATTGCGTGGACAACATCTGGTCCATTCTGACCTGACCTGGTCTCTGAACACCTGGTGAGGAAGGCCCAACAGAGGCTTTTATTCCTAGGATGCTGAGACAGGCCGGACTCTCCTCTCAGCTGGGAACAGAGCCACAGAGACAATCACCTGTCTCAGTGCATCAGTGTGGTACAGGAGCTTAACCACACAGGACAAAAGGACCGGGCATGGCTGGTGAAAATGACTCAGTGGACTGTAGGCAGTACACTCCTACCAGATTTGGACACCCGACGCAGGGGCTGGGTACAGAAAAGGGTCAGGTGAATCGCTGCAGACCTCACCCACTCTGTAAATAGACTGTGCCTCTACCTTCTGTCTGGAAAGAGGGTTAGAACATTAAAGACACAAACAAGCAGACTGACACACAGCTTCTTCTCTGGAGCTGTGAAAGCTGTCACCCCCTCTGCTGTCACCCCCCTCGGGACATTTGACCATCAAACCCCTGCAGACATATCTTCACATCTCCCCTGTACAAACTCATTCTTTCACACCTAAAGACTGGGGCTTGCACTGTGCTGCACTTTTTCAGATGTAAACTGTCCTAAAAAGAAAAAGATTGAAGTTTTGAATGACAGATATGTTTGCTAAAAAAATGTGGAAATTTAGCTGGAGTTAAAAACAAAAGGAAAAATTACACTATTTCAAGATTATTCATTTTCATTTAGCCTTTATTTATCCAGGTAGTCTCATTGAGCCACGAGAACTCATTTTCAAGAGAGACCTGTTTAGGGAGCAGATGGTGGGGGTTGAGGGCCTTGCTCAGGGGCCCAGAGTGGGGCGAATGAGGGTGGAGGGAGGTGT